TGGATATTTTGGCTTGTTTGTGTTCTGTCGTGCTGTTTGTACCCTAAAAAATCCAAAAAATCACTGGTATCAAGAGCTCAGTTTCAACGACTGAGAAAGTATTGTGTATTTGCTACAGATTTCTGGGGTGTTGCTCCAAGTGTAAGTCTCGTTGGTGTTACCTGTCTCTATGAGAAAGGAACTTATAGTATTTTTGTTTCCAGCCTCAAGCTTAGAAGACTGGATGCACGTTGTGGCTCCATCTCTAGATGATCAGGTCGTTACCAGTCTGAAGGCTCTCATAGATGAATGTGTCCATGGGAGAAACTACTGCAGACAGGTTCTCTGTTTATACGAGCTTTCTAAGGTATGTGTCCAGTACCATCATTGAAGAAACAAGTGGTTTGCATCAAGCTGGGCTGTGGAGGTTTGTGGAGGAAAGGATAAAGAGTGGTGAAAGTACTCGTCAGGGGCTTGGAACAAGCCTTTGTGTGGCCAAACGGGCAGATGCCTCCTCGGCATGAGGTGTGGAAATGAACTCGACCCCCCAGGCCCCCGCCTCTGACTCCACCGCGCCAGGTTTCAGCCCGTGTCCCTTTGCTGTGCCTTTCCGACGCTCTCTCCAGCGTGTGGCGTCCATCTAGCGCTTGCTTTAGGGACGCCTCCCTGATCGCCACCAGCCCAGAAGCAGCCGAGGGGACAGCAGCTGCCTGAGGAGTTTCAGCACAGACGGGCTCTGCGGGCTCCGCGCAGCGGTAGGAGACGTGACAGGTGGTTGTTTGCTGCCTCTGCTCCGTGACCTTCGTGAGTGCCTGCAGCCCACCTCTGCTGCTTCTCCGGAGGGCGCTGCCCAACGCTGCTTTCAGGGTGCAGAACCACTCTCTAAGGGGTTTGGTCTGTGGTTTCAGTGTATGTGCTGAAAGTATTAGCATCGTCCTTGTCACAGAGGTTCTTAGATTTTCCTACAGAATTTTTCATGCCTCGACTATTTGGAGTGAGTGCTTTAGGTCTGAGCTACTGAGAACTGGTCCTATGACTGGCTTGTTCCCTTTTATACCATCCGTGTACTTCTTGCCTGAAGCTGGATGGCCATGCTTTTGACTAAACAGTTGATCTTTGTGTTTATCAGGTCCATTTTTCAATTTCTTTGTAACTTCGTAAAGTTTTTACGTGTTACAGCAGAGTATTTGCAGAACCTCACCAACTCCTCTTCCAATATAAAAGCTAGTACAACATTTTCACTGAGAGTTTGTGGTATGCAGGGAAGAGGAGAAGGAACCTTATAAGTACAATTTGTGCAGTAAAACGCAATTCTTCCTGTGGGAGGAACTACTGCTGTCTGTCTCCTGGGTATTTTAAGCGTTAAAGTTTACATGTGGTTCCGGAAAGCATCTCTGTCCGTGGTGACAGCTCTGTGAGTATTGAACTTCACATACAAAGTACTTCCGTGCCATCCTGAGCTGGGGAGCACTAGTGCTGCAGGCGCACAGGCGAAGGCACCGTTAACTGGTAGAGGGGCCGATTGCTGAACCCGGGATTTGTCTGCTTCTCCAGCACTCCCCGCTTGCATCAGCTCCTTGTTAAGATGATGTTCTGCAGGTCAGTGTATGTTCTGGACTGGAATTTTTGCTGTGTAGCATCTTCTAAGTGTGTGTGCGTGTTTTTCTTAGGAATTGAACTGCCCCTACAGCGAAATCTCAGCCCACGACCCCGAGAAGGTGCTTCGGGCGATTCTGTCGTCCCGTCAGCTGGACCGGGGCAGGAAAGCTCAGGCGTTCATCACCACGCAGGGTCTCCGGCCTGAAACTGTGGCAGAGCTAGTGGCTGAAGAAATCACGCAGGAACTATTGGCATCTTCAGAAGGGAAAGGTAGTACAGAGGCTTGAGCTTGTCTTTCAGCGGTGTTGGTTTGTAAGCGTGGTGTTTGTGCACCTGGAAAACAGTCCTTGCTCTTGAGATATTTGAGTGCCAGTTCTCATCAGTAATGTTTGGGCAGCGCTTGTGTGAGGTTTGTAGGCCGTGTATACCTTGTGTGAGGTTTTACAGAATGTTTATTTTGCATTATTTTTGTGTCCAGTGTGCTGTAGTAGTTAAGGTTTTACTTTTTATGGATGCAAATTCAGTGTTTTTTTAAAAAAAGGGTTGTTTGGGTTTTTTAATCATGATCTCTGCAGCCCCACATCGTCTGACTTGGAAAGACTCATGTTTGTTCCTCTGTGTAAAGCATGGCCAAAAGATTTTTTCCTTTTTTTTTTTTT